TTATCCTGACAACCTGACAGCACAAAGCCAGTCTTAAAGTGCATATTTCTGACACAGCACAGTATACCTTCTTCAGACACACCGGGACATGGTATGTGGATTTTCTGTCTTCTGGTTCTTTACTGCACACGTGAACCAGCAGGACTTTGCTGGAAAAGACATCAATTAAACTGTTTACAAGACATGTTTAAAGGTGAAATAAAGATTACTCACATTCCCATAATTTCATTAATGTGCACACACTACTGTAAAAAGGAAATGTATTTTTGAACACAGGGTTGTCCTGTTTGTAAATAAAGATCTTAAAAGGTGATATATCTGCACTTCCTATCACTTTTTAAGTGCTAGTAATGCCAAAAAAGATTCAATCTATGTGACAAATCAGTCTGTACTTTTTAAAACTTTCAGACATATTTGGATGCAGTGACCAATACAAACAGACAGAGGGTTGTCTGTAAAGGGTCTTATCAACGTCAAGCGTGTTTTGAAAGATACAGTGAAGTATGATCTGTCCTGCCACGTACAATTAAGATACATTTAATTTTTTCACAATCAATTGAAACAATTTTCATTATTGAGCTGCCCTCTAAAAGCAGTTAAAAAGCGTGCTTTTTCCATTCGTTTGATTTATATGGGATGCTTGACTGACTCATCCCTCTCCATCTGAAGATCCTCACCCATCATCTGCAAGCCTCAGTGGCACCTCGCTGTCTCCCAGGATCACCAGGAGCACCCTGTAATCACATACCAGGCAATGAGACTGGTATCAGCACTGACACTGGACAGTCCGATACTAGGAAACATTCCTCTAGAACAATTACTGTACAGTACATGTAAATAGCAGAACTGACAAGCGGAAGCTGGTGATCTCCTTAGTATGTTTCACTCCGAAATCTAAATATCTGTTCAGTGAAAGACACCATCTTCTTGGAATCTTAGTAGAAGAAAGTTCAGAAAATGTGTGATTCAAAAATGTTTTATTGACACAGGTATGTTTATCCAAAAGACTCATATACAAATCCAAAATGAGGAGTAAACAATTACAGGTACACTTTTAACTGATTGCTTGGAGTACCTTTCTGTGTGGGTCGT